TTCTCTGAGCATTTATGGGTTAATGTGACGTGGTATATATCATATAAATATCGTTTTCTACTACTTTCAAGACAATTACGACAAATATTACCAATTTAAGAAAAAAACTTTTCAAAAAACAATTTCGCAGACCTGTTTAATTACTTTATTCGCATCAGAGAATCTTTGTCCGGAATTATTTACTATCTGGAGAATTCGATGGAAAAAATTGACGACGAATTTAAGGAAATTTCAGTAAAATAGTAGAGAACAAATAGAAATTCATCTGGCGGTATGGACCCTTGTTCCAGAAAGATAATTAGTTTATAGATGATAATACTATTAAAAATTTTTATTGATTAAAAGAAAAAGTTTGTCGTAGTAAAAATGCCTACATTTGAACAATAAGTGCGAAGTTTCGACGTTTATTGCTAAAGTTGTTAACACTGCTTTATATATTTTTTTGTTTTCAGCATTATAAAGTACAATGGATGCAGTAGTGATTAAGTGTGTATTAATTACGATACAATTTCTGCAAGTGTACGGACATGGAAGACTAATGGACCCGCCGTCCAGAAACTCCATGTGGAGGTACGGATTCCCGAATCCAGTAAATTACAATGATAATGAACTTTACTGTGGTGGCTATTCTGGTTAGTAAGTGCGATAATTTCTACCTGAATAATTCATAAATTTATCAGCTCATCGGGTGGATATCAAAAGCACAATTTTCTACAATCAATTTACATATAGTATAAACAAATTTTTCAAAATATCACAATCATCGTCATAAGGTCATCAATCCCAAGACTAGCTGGACACGAATCTCCACTCTTTTGTATCCTAACCAACCGTACTATTTCCCTAAAACTAGAACATCCAACATCCTTAACTATTTGTGAACAGCAGTCTAATCAAGGTCTACCTCTATTCCTCTTAACACGTGTTTCTGCTTGCTGCCAACCTATATCGTCTATTTCTTATTATTGACTTCCATGGCATCCTCTGTTCTCCTACTCTTTCTAATATCTCTATTCATTTCTAGCCTTCTCTGTCCACGGTATCCTTATCATTCCCCATTAAAACCACAATTCGAACGCTTCTAGTCTTTTCTTTTCCACCGCGTCCATCGTCCACGTTTTGCATCCGTTCAACGCGACGCTCCAACCATACACCTTTAACAACCTTTTTCGAATTTCTAAATTAACCGTTCGCTGGCAAACAAGAGCAAAGGCGACTCGACCCTGCGCTATCCTCTGCTTTATATATCCTATTACTACTCCTTCCGTTCTGACTTCTTCTAATTTTTCGTCTTCTATCTTTATATTCACTATTTCCTTATTTTTATTTCCCTTGCATATCAGTATTCTTGTTTTACTTTTCCTTACTTTTATAGGATACTATTTTGTCAATATGGCTAATATCATAGCGAGCACAGAAATGATTTCTTTTCCTGTGCGCCATGTTTGGTTCTGTATTTCTGGCACATTTTCTCTTTCGGAAATCGCCGACATCTAGTTTTCTATCTCCTAATTTTTATAATACAAGTTTGTGGTCATGGAAAACACAAAAAAAAAGAAAATGAAAAGCAAACCATTTTGGAAAGCTTGACTTTTCCGTAACTTGGTAGATATTCTCGTATTGGGTTCAAGTTATGAAGACATTAAACGTTGATATTTTCGATCTTTTGTCCTGCGCCAAGATCAGGCATAGGCAAATAAACAATATGGTGAAAATGCTTTCGTAAGAAAGAGAATTATGAGAAAAAATGGAAAAAGTGGTATTTATGAAGCTACCAAAACACGCTAAATACCCAACGAATAATCGTTTAAGGTCGTCTACCTTCCAACTTGTATTTGACCCCTCTTACCCTGTACAATACCTTAATCTTAGAATAAATTTGCATTTGACGTCGTAGTTTTTGTAATTGTTATTATTTTTTAACAACAAAAAAATAGGCAACGTTGTATATGTACATTATTTCTATTACAGTTCATTGGAATCAGAATAAAGGAAAGTGCGGAATTTGTGGCGACAGTTATGATAAAAAAGAGCCGCGGCCTCACGAAGCCGGTGGGACTTATGCTAATGGTATAATAACCCGTCGATATATATCTGGCCAAGAGATAAATATTGAAGTAGAATTGACGACAAACCATTACGGACGATTCGAAATAAACCTCTGTCCAAACAACGATCCCTACAAAGAAGTAACGCAGGAATGTCTCGACAAATATCCACTGAGGGTCGTTGGCCAGGATGACCATAGGTACGTATGCATGTGAGCGAATAAACAATATCAAAAAGGATTTTTATGACAATTCGTACAGTTCTATAATAAGATGGAAATAGCATCTCAGACTGAATTTCTAATAATAATAATAATAAGAAAATACTGGAATTACCAATAGGTTTTCCATTCGAACAGAAGACCACTATTACTTTCTTTGTTTCTCCATAAACAGTTTCACCTTGCGACAGTTTCAATTGTTGACAACATCATCATCATCATCATAAGGCAATCAATCCTAAGACAGGTTGGACACGTACTTCTACTCTTTGCTATCCTGAGCTAATCTTCAGAACTCCTTAAGACCCATATCCTTAACTATTTGCGAACAGCAATCTAATCTAGGTCTACCTCTACCTTTCTTAACTTCCGTTTCTGCCTTTAATATGTTTCTGACCAGACCTTCAAGCTTTAAAAGGTGTCCTACCAACCTATCTCACCTATTTCTTATTGACTTCCATAGAGTCCTCTGTTCTCCTATTCTTTCTAGTACCTCGTCATTTCTAATCTTCTCTATCCACGGTATCTGTAACACCACATTTCGAACGCTTTTGACCTTTTCCTTTCGCCGCGCCCACTGTCCACGTTTCGCATCCATACATCGCCGTGCTCCAAACATACACCTTTAATAACCTTTTTCGAATTTCTAAATTAACCGTTCGCGACCATAGAAGTGACTTCATTTTACTCTACTATTCCTTTCGTCCTGACTTATCTGACTTCCTAGATACCTAAAATCAGCCACTTATTTTACTTATTCGTCTCATATCTTTATATTCGCCTTTTCTCTACTTTGTCTTCCCTTGCATACCAGCATTTTTGTTTTACTTTTATTTATTTTCGTACAGTACTGTTTTGTCAATACCGCTTCCATTTTATTTAAAACTATCACTAACTACTAACTTACCTTATTTGCAACAATTAACAGGTTAAATACTATTATTTACTCTTAATTGAAGTATTTCCGGTGTTATTGAAGAGAAAAATAAGATCTGAAAGTATTGATTAATTATTGATTAACAACTCTTATTTATCTCAAAATGTTTTAACAACATGATAGAGACACCAACACTAAAACACTTTTTCGAAAAAGGTTTTTTTTTTGTTTTGATCTAAATCTGTAAATTCTGTGTTTGGAGCGTTTGAGCTCATATTGATTTCCAAAGTGGATATATATATTTGCTTCTAAAACAATTGCAGATTCTGACTAAAATGAAAGTACAAAATTGAGCTGCAAGTAGTACTCTGAAGTATTGACGATTTAAAAAGATTTGTTGAACTGAATCTATGCCGTGAGTACCTCGACGAGATGGTAGACACGCCATCAAACACAACAAAAAGATCAGTCGAAACTTTCAGGCGAAGATCGCGATTTTGATCTTATTGGATCTAGTCAGCACGCCGTGTCATGTAGGGACCGTTTACGGGCTGCTGACGAGATATAATGAGATTGAAATCGAGATGCACTTCTGAGTCTAATTGATTTTTCTTGTTAGTACGTATCATATTAGTTCGTCGTGAATATAGGGCTAGGACAAATTTGAAAGAACCTTTACTTTTATATTAGTGTAGCATTTTTTTTTTAAAATATTGACTTTTATAACCAGTGATTATGGCCTTTAAAAAACATGAACTTGTCAATTTTTGATTTCAAAGAGTAATTAGGCATGTACGAAAGGCAACATCAAATATTAAAATTCGTGGGTCAATCAAAAAATAAAAGAACGTGCACAAACGTATAATATTTGGACCTTGAATGCTAATTAGTTGGATAGCCTACAAACATGGGCTCATATATTGAGCGTATAACACCAATAATATAATATCATTAAGTATTCAAAGGAAGTACAATATAGGATAGCGTACTTCATTGGAAAACTGGGTTAAAGTTTATTTACCACATAACAAAGTAGGCTTTGACATACCTACTTTAATATAAACCTACTATTGTATTGAGTTTTCTGAAGGAAATCCTTTAAATGGAACAAAGTTCAATATGTTGTGACAAAAACACCCATATTTATGTACAGTTACATACATGGAAGAAAATACTGTCACAAATTAATATTTTATCAAAACATCTAACGTGAAATTAAAACAATAAAAACGGAAATAAGTGAGTATATCATTATCATAAGGTCGTCAGTCCTAAGACTGGATGGTCACGCACCTTACAATTTTTCTTATACTGAGCAGTGATGAACAAAATTAACGTTAACCAAGACCAAGATTGTCTTTATACTAGCAAGACTAAGACTAAAACCGAACGGACAGGACCAAGATTGTTTTTATATTAACAAGATCAAAACCAGGACCGAACGAACAAGATCAAGACTAAAACTAAGACCGAACGAACAAGACGAAGACCAAAAACAAAACCGAATATGCAAGACTGAGACCAAATACGCGAAGCTAAACAAAAAAATACGGATCTGTAAGAATGTCCCTGGAGTAAGTGTTCTATGTGGCTATGTTTGGATAACGTATGGATGAAATGTAGAGATAATCTAATTTCTTTTTCCATATTTTTAATTTCTTTCAAGTACCTTGTGCTATTTTGTTCGAGAAAAGGTCAATATAAGCGTTGGAGGCAGGGTCAATTTATGATTAGGAGAAAAGGTATGTTTTTATAACTCTCAGAACTATCCACATTATTTTCTTTAAAAGTAATAGAAAATACCACAAACGTATGCTCCAACAAGGTCCATTTGTGTGGATATCTACTTGCTGAAACGAATCCCGGCGTAGCTAACCTCAACGTGATAGGCACGTTACCATAATCGAATAAAATAATTCGAAGTGGTCCGTATTCTGTCGAAACTGCCAAAAGCGGATCGCGATTTCGATCTTTTTGGATCTCATCAGCGCGTCGCACACAGACCAACTTTTACCTGCTGTCTTAACAGTGCGTTTTAGAAAATACCACAAATGGCGCGGTAAACGCCATCTGTTGTACAATGCTACATTTTAGGATTACGTATGCTCCAACAAGGTCCATTTAAATGGATGGNTTGGGAACTAATTAAAGTAAGATTGTATATAAAAACTAAGTTTTTTTAACCTGTACGCACATAACTCTCGAAATTCCTTAAAGTTTCGAAAAAGAAAATAAAATATTAACAATGATATCGTAAAATGATTTTTAACTTTTTTGATCTTTTCAAAATAACTTAAATTTTAACAATTTTGCATTGATGGGATAATTTTATCGAGAAGTTCTAATATCATATTTTAATAGTTTCTAACGAAATACTTCAACTCTACTTTTTAAAATCACGTAGCAGACCTTCAAAATAAATTTAGGTAATCAGAATTAGGTGTGACGAAATAACTTTTAATTTTGACAATTTTTCATCGAGAAACATAACATATTTTAATTAATTTGACGAATAAAACCATTCTATTTAATATCACGTACCTTTTCGTGGTTTCGCATTCACAAACAACTAGAATACAAACAAAAAACTTCGTATAAGTGCAGTCGCAAATGAAATGATTGTATAATTTGTAGTAATCGCCAAGTTCTTCTACAAAATAACCAGCGACCGGAACTACGGTTGAGTTATTCGGCTATCAAACAAACGAAAAATAATTTATTATTATAATTCAACTTTTTCAACGTAAAATTTCCACATCGAACCGTAACAAACAAATGAACAACACCGAAAGCAACAATCAACGAATCGCATTCACGCTCTTGGACGAAATCATTAAACAAATAAGAACTTATTGCATATGTTACTTGCGTTTTTCCCCCATAACACCCAAACACTCACCGTCGGCTTCGATCAATATGGTAAAATGGGTAGAAACTGAAGCCCCAAAGTGTGCAGAATACAAACAATGATGACGAATTAACGACTGTTTAGTGTATACTGCTAGAGACAACATTAATCATTGTTGGAAGACACGGGAAGCTTTATGAGTTTACATAAGCTTCTTAACAGGATTTTTTAGAAGTTCAATACTGCTTCCTTTCTAACTAACTCCGTTTTTCTTTATGCAAGATCGACCATTATAAATACAGGTCAAAATCGCTTTTGTGGTAACGGACGGTGTTACATAAGAAAATATCAATAAATTTTTAAATGCGTGACGAATTCAATTTGGTTATTCACCTAATTTGTAAGGCCTTTTTATTTTAAAAATTTCCGGCCTGTTTGAATTAATCATTCATCAAGTTACTTTGCAAATTCTACTTGAAAATAATTAGTTGTGACTTGTGACCATGTGACTTGGTTCTCCATCAATGTTACTTGACCTGATGGCAAGCAATTTCAAGTTATTTGAATCGACATCCCTGTGTGCGGGAATTATTTGCACAATTGTCAAATCTGTGACAATGAAAATAAATTAGAATGCACAAAATACTCTATGATAATAAATTAGACTGCACAAAATACTCTTAAACATTTTCTAAGAAATGTAATCTAAAAATCTCCTTTACTATGATCTTCTTGTTACTTGACAGTTGTACTAGAATATGTTACTCTCAACGCCAGAAAGGATTTCCAGTAGATACGGAATATGCCCAACGAATGTATTAACTGAGGAATGCGTTTGTTTGATTGCTTATTAAGATTATACGGTTGCGGTAGGAGAAGACAAAACGAACGAAGTGAGCGTGGTAGTGGTCACGTCTTTTTGTTTCATAATTGGTCCATTTCAAGTCATTTTCACAAGAAAAGAAAAGTCATAGTAGATGAAGATTTATTACCCATTCGTTTCAGATCTGTTTAATCTCTTCATACACCAGCAAAGATCAGAAAAAGTCTCATAAACATAAGACGGAAATTTATACTTATTAGGGCCTATTTGTTAAAATGTAGATACTGTAAGAAACTGATAATAAAGTCTATGTTGGTCAGATGGGATGATTTTTTAAATTACGCATACGCGAACATCTATGAAGAAACTGATTTCACATACGTATGCAGAAGATCTATTGATTGAACAATGTAATTTAATGATCAATTTAGAGATCAAGACTGCTTTTATACTAGCAGGGTCAATCCAAGACCGACCGAACAATACCAAGAGTAAAACCAAGGGTGAGTTGACGAGTTTTCATAACTCTCACAACTATCAACACTATTTTCTTTAAAAGTCATGACAATCTCGCATAATTGACAGAAAAATTTATCATTTGGGACAATTATTGTGTTGGTAAACAGAAAAATTTGTGCTTGGAAATAATTATTAAAAAAAAACGTAAGTGTTCGATTAAATGGGCAAAACCAAGACTGAACACGCTAGATCAAGACCAATACCAATACCAAAAAACATTTGCTTTTCTTATCATTAGTTATGTACTTCAAACCTTAATTTAATTGAAGGTATTTTTATCTTTAATGCAGTAAAATGAATATTATTATTAATGATTAAATAGCTCGTGATAATTCAGCTTACTAGATTTAAACTATGAAGGATAATATCTTCAGTCTTTACTTCAGCATTTTAGTACACAGGGACTTAAAAAAAAACACTGTTTCCAATTGTCACTTGAGGATGCTATTTAATGAAACCGAAAACAATTTATACAAACTTCGGTTGTTTTAATAGCAGTTACGGCGTATATGTAATAAGCGGATTGGCATTACATGCGGAGTCGTTATAAGCGATTACATTCTAAAATTGTTTTATTCCAATGGTGTGCAACTCTATATTGCATCATACTGCTTGCTATGTTACCGAAAAAAAGCCAAAAGTTAGCGAATAGTTTATGGCGGTGTTGTTCAGAAAATTGTGGATTTAGTAGGTGTACGTATTTTACGAGGTATTTGCATCGATGTGTGACTCCTATTATTCGAATCCTGCTTATTTATGACTAAACAACGTGTAGTGTGAACCTATCTATAAAACATACAACAAGACAAGAAGTCGCTGGCCACCGACCTCTTGAGGATCAAGAGTGCCATGCATCGGGCAGTTCCTCCTTGTCTGTCATCCTCGAAGCATCGGAGTGTCCTGCTGCGTTTCCATTCATTCACCAAAATCGACAATCCACTACAAGTTCGTCAATTGTTTTAAAAAGTTTCGTGAAAACAAAATACGGTGGAGGTGAGTTTGAATTTGTAATATTGCGATTTTTTTGGAAATTTGGAAAATTTTGAATGAAAATTTGAGTTTTTGCAATTTTAATTAATTGCAATTATTGTGCTTATTAAAGTGTTGCATAAGTTAGCTATTTAATTCATAAGATTGATTTTTAATACCTATTTAGTATTTCGATGAATAGATTTCATTTAATTGATTATTTAAAAACTGTACTGGCCCTTTTCCTTTTGTTATAGTTTTAATATTATTATAACTGACGTAAAGATTAATAATTACATTCAAATTTAATAAAAAACCGAGATATAGGGAAAGGATCGATAGCAGATAGTAGAGTTTCTAGAAAAAAAGATTTACTTGCTGCTTTTTAATTACTATATTTGAACCTACGTATCTAGTTTAAAATTATTAGGAAATATTTTTTAGTGAATTCCAGAAGTTTAATTAGGGAACTTTTTATTTGAATTAGAATAATGATTTTCTTTAGAAAAAATAAAAATAAAAAGACAAATGAGGGAAGGGGATTACTTCACCTGATTTATATGTAAGTGATGTAAACAATATTGTCTGCCTTGATGACACAACCTTGTCTGTGGTTATACCTAGTATGAATTCAATATCAATTATAAAATTGCAACTGCAGGTAGAAAATATACAATAAAAATTAAAACTTCAGGTTTTATACGTATGCGACAACATAGTCACTAAAAATCCTACTGGACCTCTTCACATTTCCGAACTGCAATAATGAATTCGGTTATGAATCATTAATTTCTATATAAAGCTATTGTACAACCGAGATGATATTTTACTGCAGACTTATTCAAAGTTGTATTGTATTTGAACAAGTTTTCGAAAAAATCATTGACCTCTGAATCGAATACGAGCGGTTGGTACCTAGTTCTGTTTAATGATTTATGATAATATCAAAAACGCGACTGATTAACATAATAAATGACTGGTCAGTCTAAAGTAAAGCACCTACTGCTAAATAGTAGGTGTCAATGGTAAGGTCGAGGTATTGGCAAAATATAAAATAAAGGTGTGGTGTCTTTGTTAGAATTATTGATGACGCGCTACATACAGGGTGTTATGTATATGTTCCTGTTTTTAAATTTAATACGGATGTAAATGGTTCTATAGGTCACAAAAATGAACATACTGTGTGGGTTAGTAGGGTAGGACACCCAGTAAAAACATAGTTTCTTATGCTATTCCATGAATATCAATTATAAATTTGTTGTTTCCTTCTTTTTTTTGCATCAAAATAATCATTGTTTAAACATCTGTTTTCGCTATATAAATGGAAAAATTTCGGTGAAGTATAAGGGAACCATATCCGTCCATTTTTCCGGTTCACTGTTTTTGGTTGGTCATTTTTGCGACCTCTATTTCAAAATTCACATAGGAGAATCTTCGTACGGAATTATTTACTGTCGGAAAATTGGCTATGTGGAGAGTTCGATAGGGAAAAATTAACCATAAATTTAAGGAATCTTCAGTAAAAATGTAGAGAACAAATAGAAATTCATCTGGCAGTATATAACTTTATTCCAAAAAGACAACACAGGTCTGCGATAAAAAAGTTTTTTGGATAAATTTATCTTAAGCATGTAAATGTTGAATCGGCTTTATTTGTTTTTTCACAAAATTCATTTTATAGCCTATATTTCTATTTAATACTCTCTGACTGAGCATTACATTGTATTTTACTTTATTTTAGATAGTCTGAAAGTAACTATAGTCGTTTACACCGCCTGAAAAAGAAATAGTTTATAGCGCGCCATTATTGACAGAGATATAATAATAACGTGTAATAAAAGATTGTGTTTCATTTATCTTTAACTATAGCTTCTCGGAGTTGTAAAAACATTTTAAATGTATTTTTTGACATTTCCGGACAATATACAATAGTTAAGCAAAGATTGAATATAACAGACTTTGTAAAAAATGCTTATTAAGCTTTTACTTCAGAATGAAGTCGTTACCAAGATAAACACTGGGTTACGATAAAATATGTCGGTTATTTGTTGAAGTGTTAAAACAGTGGAGTTATGGTAAATCAAAATCATTGTTATTCGGTGTTTCTATGTCCAAATAAGAATGCAATTGGAAGTCGTAGTGAAAAATGCCATCAATACGAGTTTGAAAGAAGAAAGTATTGCTTCCACCACTTTACATTAAACTTGGTTTGATCAAACAGTTTGTAAAGGCATTTAGAGTTGACCAACGGTGATTATTTCATGTTTAGATATCGAAGTCATGATCTATATACGTTTTAAACATACAAAAAAATCGTAAGGACACAAAAAATTGCTTTTTAAGAAAAAAGTCAATTCAAAAATCACGTTTGCTTATTTTCGATCTTTCCATGCTTTAATATCTTCGGAGGTATTTTTAACCAACACCATCGAAAAGAGCATCGTTAAAAACACAAAAACACTAGTTATCGAATATTTTTTCGTCGCACTCATTACGTGGCAAGGGTTCAAATGGAAATGTGTTCTCTGAGCATTTATGGGTTAATGTGACGTGGTATATATCATATAAATATCGTTTTCTACTACTTTCAAGACAATTACGACAAATATTACCAATTTAAGAAAAAAACTTTTCAAAAAACAATTTCGCAGACCTGTTTAATTACTTTATTCGCATCAGAGAATCTTTGTCCGGAATTATTTACTATCTGGAGAATTCGATGGAAAAAATTGACGACGAATTTAAGGAAATTTCAGTAAAATAGTAGAGAACAAATAGAAATTCATCTGGCGGTATGGACCCTTGTTCCAGAAAGATAATTAGTTTATAGATGATAATACTATTAAAAATTTTTATTGATTAAAAGAAAAAGTTTGTCGTAGTAAAAATGCCTACATTTGAACAATAAGTGCGAAGTTTCGACGTTTATTGCTAAAGTTGTTAACACTGCTTTATATATTTTTTTGTTTTCAGCATTATAAAGTACAATGGATGCAGTAGTGATTAAGTGTGTATTAATTACGATACAATTTCTGCAAGTGTACGGACATGGAAGACTAATGGACCCGCCGTCCAGAAACTCCATGTGGAGGTACGGATTCCCGAATCCAGTAAATTACAATGATAATGAACTTTACTGTGGTGGCTATTCTGGTTAGTAAGTGCGATAATTTCTACCTGAATAATTCATAAATTTATCAGCTCATCGGGTGGATATCAAAAGCACAATTTTCTACAATCAATTTACATATAGTATAAACAAATTTTTCAAAATATCACAATCATCGTCATAAGGTCATCAATCCCAAGACTAGCTGGACACGAATCTCCACTCTTTTGTATCCTAACCAACCGTACTATTTCCCTAAAACTAGAACATCCAACATCCTTAACTATTTGTGAACAGCAGTCTAATCAAGGTCTACCTCTATTCCTCTTAACACGTGTTTCTGCTTGCTGCCAACCTATATCGTCTATTTCTTATTATTGACTTCCATGGCATCCTCTGTTCTCCTACTCTTTCTAATATCTCTATTCATTTCTAGCCTTCTCTGTCCACGGTATCCTTATCATTCCCCATTAAAACCACAATTCGAACGCTTCTAGTCTTTTCTTTTCCACCGCGTCCATCGTCCACGTTTTGCATCCGTTCAACGCGACGCTCCAACCATACACCTTTAACAACCTTTTTCGAATTTCTAAATTAACCGTTCGCTGGCAAACAAGAGCAAAGGCGACTCGACCCTGCGCTATCCTCTGCTTTATATATCCTATTACTACTCCTTCCGTTCTGACTTCTTCTAATTTTTCGTCTTCTATCTTTATATTCACTATTTCCTTATTTTTATTTCCCTTGCATATCAGTATTCTTGTTTTACTTTTCCTTACTTTTATAGGATACTATTTTGTCAATATGGCTAATATCATAGCGAGCACAGAAATGATTTCTTTTCCTGTGCGCCATGTTTGGTTCTGTATTTCTGGCACATTTTCTCTTTCGGAAATCGCCGACATCTAGTTTTCTATCTCCTAATTTTTATAATACAAGTTTGTGGTCATGGAAAACACAAAAAAAAAGAAAATGAAAAGCAAACCATTTTGGAAAGCTTGACTTTTCCGTAACTTGGTAGATATTCTCGTATTGGGTTCAAGTTATGAAGACATTAAACGTTGATATTTTCGATCTTTTGTCCTGCGCCAAGATCAGGCATAGGCAAATAAACAATATGGTGAAAATGCTTTCGTAAGAAAGAGAATTATGAGAAAAAATGGAAAAAGTGGTATTTATGAAGCTACCAAAACACGCTAAATACCCAACGAATAATCGTTTAAGGTCGTCTACCTTCCAACTTGTATTTGACCCCTCTTACCCTGTACAATACCTTAATCTTAGAATAAATTTGCATTTGACGTCGTAGTTTTTGTAATTGTTATTATTTTTTAACAACAAAAAAATAGGCAACGTTGTATATGTACATTATTTCTATTACAGTTCATTGGAATCAGAATAAAGGAAAGTGCGGAATTTGTGGCGACAGTTATGATAAAAAAGAGCCGCGGCCTCACGAAGCCGGTGGGACTTATGCTAATGGTATAATAACCCGTCGATATATATCTGGCCAAGAGATAAATATTGAAGTAGAATTGACGACAAACCATTACGGACGATTCGAAATAAACCTCTGTCCAAACAACGATCCCTACAAAGAAGTAACGCAGGAATGTCTCGACAAATATCCACTGAGGGTCGTTGGCCAGGATGACCATAGGTACGTATGCATGTGAGCGAATAAACAATATCAAAAAGGATTTTTATGACAATTCGTACAGTTCTATAATAAGATGGAAATAGCATCTCAGACTGAATTTCTAATAATAATAATAATAAGAAAATACTGGAATTACCAATAGGTTTTCCATTCGAACAGAAGACCACTATTACTTTCTTTGTTTCTCCATAAACAGTTTCACCTTGCGACAGTTTCAATTGTTGACAACATCATCATCATCATCATAAGGCAATCAATCCTAAGACAGGTTGGACACGTACTTCTACTCTTTGCTATCCTGAGCTAATCTTCAGAACTCCTTAAGACCCATATCCTTAACTATTTGCGAACAGCAATCTAATCTAGGTCTACCTCTACCTTTCTTAACTTCCGTTTCTGCCTTTAATATGTTTCTGACCAGACCTTCAAGCTTTAAAAGGTGTCCTACCAACCTATCTCACCTATTTCTTATTGACTTCCATAGAGTCCTCTGTTCTCCTATTCTTTCTAGTACCTCGTCATTTCTAATCTTCTCTATCCACGGTATCTGTAACACCACATTTCGAACGCTTTTGACCTTTTCCTTTCGCCGCGCCCACTGTCCACGTTTCGCATCCATACATCGCCGTGCTCCAAACATACACCTTTAATAACCTTTTTCGAATTTCTAAATTAACCGTTCGCGACCATAGAAGTGACTTCATTTTACTCTACTATTCCTTTCGTCCTGACTTATCTGACTTCCTAGATACCTAAAATCAGCCACTTATTTTACTTATTCGTCTCATATCTTTATATTCGCCTTTTCTCTACTTTGTCTTCCCTTGCATACCAGCATTTTTGTTTTACTTTTATTTATTTTCGTACAGTACTGTTTTGTCAATACCGCTTCCATTTTATTTAAAACTATCACTAACTACTAACTTACCTTATTTGCAACAATTAACAGGTTAAATACTATTATTTACTCTTAATTGAAGTATTTCCGGTGTTATTGAAGAGAAAAATAAGATCTGAAAGTATTGATTAATTATTGATTAACAACTCTTATTTATCTCAAAATGTTTTAACAACATGATAGAGACACCAACACTAAAACACTTTTTCGAAAAAGGTTTTTTTTTTGTTTTGATCTAAATCTGTAAATTCTGTGTTTGGAGCGTTTGAGCTCATATTGATTTCCAAAGTGGATATATATATTTGCTTCTAAAACAATTGCAGATTCTGACTAAAATGAAAGTACAAAATTGAGCTGCAAGTAGTACTCTGAAGTATTGACGATTTAAAAAGATTTGTTGAACTGAATCTATGCCGTGAGTACCTCGACGAGATGGTAGACACGCCATCAAACACAACAAAAAGATCAGTCGAAACTTTCAGGCGAAGATCGCGATTTTGATCTTATTGGATCTAGTCAGCACGCCGTGTCATGTAGGGACCGTTTACGGGCTGCTGACGAGATATAATGAGATTGAAATCGAGATGCACTTCTGAGTCTAATTGATTTTTCTTGTTAGTACGTATCATATTAGTTCGTCGTGAATATAGGGCTAGGACAAATTTGAAAGAACCTTTACTTTTATATTAGTGTAGCATTTTTTTTTTAAAATATTGACTTTTATAACCAGTGATTATGGCCTTTAAAAAACATGAACTTGTCAATTTTTGATTTCAAAGAGTAATTAGGCATGTACGAAAGGCAACATCAAATATTAAAATTCGTGGGTCAATCAAAAAATAAAAGAACGTGCACAAACGTATAATATTTGGACCTTGAATGCTAATTAGTTGGATAGCCTACAAACATGGGCTCATATATTGAGCGTATAACACCAATAATATAATATCATTAAGTATTCAAAGGAAGTACAATATAGGATAGCGTACTTCATTGGAAAACTGGGTTAAAGTTTATTTACCACATAACAAAGTAGGCTTTGACATACCTACTTTAATATAAACCTACTATTGTATTGAGTTTTCTGAAGGAAATCCTTTAAATGGAACAAAGTTCAATATGTTGTGACAAAAACACCCATATTTATGTACAGTTACATACATGGAAGAAAATACTGTCACAAATTAATATTTTATCAAAACATCTAACGTGAAATTAAAACAATAAAAACGGAAATAAGTGAGTATATCATTATCATAAGGTCGTCAGTCCTAAGACTGGATGGTCACGCACCTTACAATTTTTCTTATACTGAGCAGTGATGAACAAAATTAACGTTAACCAAGACCAAGATTGTCTTTATACTAGCAAGACTAAGACTAAAACCGAACGGACAGGACCAAGATTGTTTTTATATTAACAAGATCAAAACCAGGACCGAACGAACAAGATCAAGACTAAAACTAAGACCGAACGAACAAGACGAAGACCAAAAACAAAACCGAATATGCAAGACTGAGACCAAATACGCGAAGCTAAACAAAAAAATACGGATCTGTAAGAATGTCCCTGGAGTAAGTGTTCTATGTGGCTATGTTTGGATAACGTATGGATGAAATGTAGAGATAATCTAATTTCTTTTTCCATATTTTTAATTTCTTTCAAGTACCTTGTGCTATTTTGTTCGAGAAAAGGTCAATATAAGCGTTGGAGGCAGGGTCAATTTATGATTAGGAGAAAAGGTATGTTTTTATAACTCTCAGAACTATCCACATTATTTTCTTTAAAAGTAATAGAAAATACCACAAACGTATGCTCCAACAAGGTCCATTTGTGTGGATATCTACTTGCTGAAACGAATCCCGGCGTAGCTAACCTCAACGTGATAGGCACGTTACCAAAATCGAATAAAATAATTCGAAGTGGTCCGTATTCTGTCGAAACTGCCAAAAGCGGATCGCGATTTCGATCTTTTTGGATCTCATCAGCGCGTCGCACACAGACCAACTTTTACCTGCTGTCTTAACAGTGCGTTTTAGAAAATACCACAAATGGCGCGGTAAACGCCATCTGTTGTACAATGCTACATTTTAGGATTACGTATGCTCCAACAAGGTCCATTTGTATGGATATCTACTTGCCGAAACGAATCCCGGCGTAGCTACCCTAAAAGTTGGTCTGTGTTCTGTCGGAGCTGTCTGCGACGTGCTGATGAGTTCCAAAAAGATCGAAATCGCGATCCGCGTCTGGCTATTTCGACAGAATACAGACCACTTCGAATTATTTTATTTAAAAGTAATGACTAGCTTGCGTTTATGACAGGAAATGTCTGCATTTAAGACAATTATTGTGTCGGTAAATAGAAAAACTTGTGTGGTTTGAAGAATTGTTATATGAGCGAGACCTACACACAAGACCAAAACCAAGACGAAAACCGAGACTCAATCAGGAAGGCCAAGGCCAAGACCAAGACTAGAAGTATTTAAGTAAGACCAAGGTCAATACCAAGACTTGGGCAGACTTGGTCAGACTTGGTCTTGATTCTGCTTTGCTCATCACTAATCTTGAGTTAATCTTCGCAATTTTCCTAAATCTAAAACATCTCATATCCTTAGCTATTTGTTTAATAATAATAATAAAAGCAAGGAGTCATTTATTAACCCAATCACAATTTCCTCTAAACTTGTTGGCTTTTCTTAAGGTACATCCTCGACGAAGACGGCCCCAAGAAAGCCACAATCTACTACAGCGTCCGACTGCCACCGTATCTTACATGCACCCAGTGCGTCCTCCAATGGAATTACTACACAGGAAATCAATGGGGACTTTGCGACAACGGCACTTACGCTCAAGGATGTGGAAAATCGGAACTGTTCCGAAACTGTGCCGATGTCAGCGTTGTGACTAATGTCGGAGGTGCTATTCCACCACTCTTTGTCGAAGTGGACAACCCCTATTTGTTGTTCTACAAGGACAGTACACGACCGGCGCCTTTCAACGTTTATCCGTTGATTGTGCGACATCAAGTGTGTCAAGCCAACGACAATATCAAAGCTTTGATGCCCGGAATGGACAATTGGTGTCAAAGTAATTGCCTCAAGTATCCACCAAACTGTCCCAAAAGCATTTGTAATTGTCCGTAAGTGTTTTTAATGTTGGGTCGTTTATATGGGATTTATGTTATCTCATGAAATAGAAATCGACAGATTTGACGATCGATTGGGGTCGACTGTCGAGGGTTGCTAAGCTTCTTACTAGGTCGCAACTAAATATAAATAAAAACAACATCATCATCATCCTCATAAGGTCCTCAGTTCTAAGACTGGTTGGACACGCACCTGCACTCCTTCCTATCCTTAGCTAATCTTCGCATTTCCCTAAAACTAGAACAACCCACATCCGTAACTATTTGCGAACAGTAATCTAATCTAGGTCTACCTCAACCCCTCCTAACTTCTCGTAAATGTGACTAAGAAGCTTAAACATACGATCTCTAATCTCTTGTCCTGCATGAATTTCCCCCTGTATCTCGTCTACCCCTGGCGCCTTATTATTCGTTAAGTTTTTTAATGCTACATCGAACTTTCTCTCATTTTGGGATAACCTAACTCATCTATCTCTACACTATTTTCCTTCTCTAATATATCTCATAAGTCACGGTTTTCGTATACGTCCTCTAAATATTCTTTCCACCTATTTGCCTTTTCCTCATTTTCTATAAAAATGCCTTGTTTCTTATATTTTTACTACTGCATCCTACATCTCTAAAATTCCTTTTAATTATACTATAAGTCATCGGTTTTACCTACTTCAAACTTTTCTTCTACTTTTTTACAATTTCTATCCTTAGCTGCCCTGCACTTCCTAATTATTTCCCACATTATAGCCTTATATCTCTTTTGCCCCTCTTCGTTTGTCCTGTTTTTATATTTCCGCCTTTTTTCCATCAATCCTACAATTTTCCATTCTGTTTTCCATTCTGTTTTTATGTCCCTGTCATTCGTTTCTTCTGCCGCCTTTAGTATTTCGTCTGTCCTTTTTTTAGCATTTTAGCTTTTCTGAGTCAAGATGTCTCCTATCTTCCTTTTTTTTCAGAGTTTTCAATTTAAGATTAGTCTTCATAACTACTAAGTTAAGTCGCTATTTATATCTACCCCTGGATAACTCCTACAGTCCTTCACTTGATTTTTAAATCTTTACCTAATAAGTATGTAAATAAGAACATAAAGGATAAATATTCGGAGATTGAATAATGTCGATGTGTTACGTCTAATTACACTCGTTTAGGTTTCTGTAAAAAGGCTTTTGATAGCTAATATGACACAGGTACTTCCTAATGAATGTTCTAATGTCGGCCTTCGAAATTTCAACCCCAAAGTACATTACTTTACACTTAATCGATCTGGTTTTCGTCATAAATGAATTTGGAAATTATGGAGTAAACGATTTGTGAGATCTTGAGTACAAACGCACAGAGAACGTTAAACAAATTCCAACTTGACCCTAAATTTATGTAAAAATGTGGAATTTATGCAAAAAAGTTATTTACTAATGAATAATTAAAGAAAGTTTTCCAGGTAGTCCTTAGCGAGAATTTTCAAATGTTTGAAATTGTTTTGCACAGCCGGTTTCACATCATCATAAATACATTACAGAATATAATTTTTTTTATGGATTTTTATTTTTCCACAAAGACAGACAAATTTTAAAGCTAATGTTGTCTAGTATCAATTGAAACAGCAAATAAGTATTACTGTTTTTGGACAACTTGTGGATTTCCGGCAGCTTTGTCTGATATTTTCAATGCGCCTAGGACGCATTAGTATTATGGTTTGTAAATGTTTGATTCAAAATTTCTGTTTGGAACAGAGTAGTGGAAGGGGGTTTGGTAAAATGGTTACAAAGTTGAATGAAGCATTTGTATATCCTATCAATATGTACAGAATGTTTAGAAAAATAATTCACTTATAGCAGGTCTACTCATATTCTCTCCAAGCATTGAACTATGTCCTTAGTAAAAATCTCATGGTTTTTAAGATCTTATAAAATCTCAAACTAACTACATAAGAAAGAATTAAGGACTAATTTTCAGTTCCGAAAATGTTAAAAGAAAAATTAAAATTATACAACAAATAATATTTGTAATAATATCAGATAATAGGACCAAACTTATTCTGCTAAATGTTGAGCTTCTTTAGTTTCCTATTACTTTATTAAAGGCTTACTGTCAATGATTTTTGAAAACTCATGCAAGCTTGGAAGAGAAATCATCAGTATTTGGTACTCACATAACGGCGGCCTTTAAATTATATAGAATTTCATTAATTCTAATGTGTTCAAATATACAAAAAACCTAAGGCTTTTATCCTGTAGACAAATCAGACTGCCTTCTCTGTCTTTTACAAAACTTTTCAGGCATTTCAAATAAGCAATGTTAAGTACAGGCACTAATTGGTATAATGTCAGGAAATAATTAAATAATATTGTAGGTAATATAATCTCAAAAGCTATTTTTTTTCTTTTTTCATATTATTATACGCTTTGCAATAACAATTGATAAAACTGAATTTCATCAGTAATCAAAATAATTGATCAACTACGATTTTTCTGTCAAAATCCTAAAAAGTATGCGGTTCTTCTTAGATGAAATGTTTAGATTATTTTGGCGACTATCAACTAAATCAATACCAAAAATAGTTAACATTTAGTTTTCGCTTCTCATTGAATTAGGTATCACCTCCTACGGTGATTTGTGAAATGCGCTTTCACATATTAAAGAAGTAATTTCCTCATTAATATAGAAAAGCAAAGTATAACTTACCTTAACGCTGTAGGTATTAATTTGCACACTGTGGAATTTTCATGGTGGTTCCCATATGATGTTACGACACGATGTCCGCAATGAAAAGTTCGCATTTCACATAGTAAAAGATGTTAAAATAGATTAAAAGTAAAGTAAATATAAATAGATCGGAAGCTGGATAGAGGTGAACTTCACCTATTATATATAGCATGCTCTTTTGGGGGTTAATAATTTACCCTTTCATAAGAAAGACAAAAAGGTTCTAGTCCGATGTGTTATAAGTTTTTCGGTCATGTTGAAATTAAAATTCCTTTTTTAGAAAAAATTGTGTTTTCCGTGATACATATTGCATGCATTTGCAACGTAGAATAGTTAAAGGTGATTTAAGGCGAAAGACATGCAATCTGCAACAGTACAAAGGAAAAAAAAGGGTGGAAGATTTTCATTTTAGTTTGAGATAGTTCAAGACCCCAACTAGTTTTTCCACTTTTGTGGTAACGAAAGATGCATCAAGTTCCTTTTCTTTTTCATTGACTTGCAATTTGAAAACACAGAATTTTATACTGAAACGTTCGAGCCCTTTAGGCTGTTGAGGATTGCATGACTTTTAGTACTAGACAGTTTCTTACAAAGGCATTGAATGTGATGCATCGGTAAACGCAATTTTTTCCAAAAAGTAACATTTTAATTTTCGGTATGATTGGAAAATCTGCCTTGGTTAAGAACCTTTCTATTTTTTTTATCAAAAGGTAAATTCATCATCATAAGGTCGTCAGTCCTAAGACTGGTTGGACACGTACCTCCACTCTTTCCTATCCTGAGCTAAACTTCGTATTTCCCTAAAACTAGAACAGCCTACATCTACCTCTATCCCTCCTAACTCCTGTTTCTGCCTCTAATATGTCTCTGACTAGACCTTCATGCCTAAGAAGGTGTCCTACCAACCTATTTCGCCTATTGTTATTGACTTCCATAGAGTCCTCTGTTCTCCTATTCTTCCCAATACCTCTTCATTTCTAACCTTTTCTACCCACGATATCCCCATCATCCGCCTATAACACCACATTTTGAACGCTTTTAACCTTTTCTTTTCCGCCACGCCCACTGTCCATGTTTCGCACCCGTACAACGCCGTGCTCCAAACATACACCTTTAACAACCTTTTTCGAATTTCTAAATTAATGGTTCGCGAGCATAGAAGTGACTTGTTTTTGTTAAAGGCGACACGACCCTGCGCTATCCTCTGCTTTACATCCCTACTACTTCCATCCTGACTTATCTGACTTCCTAGGTATCTAAAATCAGCCAGTTCTTCTAATTTTTATTATATTCCCTCTTTCCCTACTTTTTCTTCCCTTGTATACTAGTATTTTAGTTTTACTTTTATTTATTTTTATACAGTACTGATCTGTCAGTACCGCTTCTATTTTTTAAATGGCTAAAAAGGTAAATTATGAACTCCCAAAAAGGCATGCGATAAAAGATCGGAAAGCCTCCACCTGTGCCCAATTTTCGGTATGCTAATTTTTTCGCCATCAAATCATTCTCTAGACCATAGTCTCAAAATTCGGAAAATGATAATAATTATTTACAAATTTATTTATTGTCCCGAAGATGAATTATCTTTCTTTATCAGAGTGACTTTTACTTTATCGAAGATTGTACAAACAATGTGACTCCATCTTTAACATCTTTTAGAGTAGCACGCACAATTTTATCACGTTTAGGCAATAATCATAACATAAAACATAACACAAATATCACTTTTATAACACTATCGTTATTATTTGTTGTCCACGAGATTGTTTTGCAATTAATAGAAGAGTTATTTCTTATTGTTCGCAATAAAAAACAGATACCGACAACAAACTTACCAGTAAACATTGTTCATCAAAATGAGTTGCTTTTTCTGACTTCATGTTCGGCATTATTCGGGTGATAACGGTCAACACGTGTACTTGGTGACTCAATTTCTGTATATATAAAACTTACATTCTCCGTGATATACGGACTGCTTATTTAATCTTTTAAACAACTTGAAAGAAAATGTGATCTACTACGGGCTCAGTAAATGATTAAGTTGGGATCGATAGATTAGAAATTTAATAGGTATATGAAAAAATAAAATTTGAAAAACCTTTCTGTATCTAGACTTGATGAGAGTAGTTGTTTAATATTGTTTTTGAGATTTTTTTAATCACGATAAATTGTATTTGTAAATTCTTTAACATAGAAAAAACCTTGTTCTTTCAAATACTCAATTGTAACATACATAGGTAAAGGTCTAGATGGGGGGGGTCGAAAGAGGAGGTCTCCCCCACCACTGTACCATAAAAAATTCGTGGCGGTTTCATCCTCATAAAAAGTTATGGGGGTTCAAAGTAATTAATATACCAATTTTTATATATTTCTAGGCATGTAAATATTTATATAGTCATTCTTAAACAATATTCAAAGGTAAAACTAATGGAAAAATACATAAAAATATTGAGAAAGTTATATAAAACATTATTTAAATATCTTTATCAATAGGGTAGGTTAGGTTAGGTTAGGTTATCGGGTTTTGTTCAAGTGACCACCCTCTTTC